AAAGAAAAACCTCCTGCTCCTACTTCCTGCATGGGCAGATAAAGAGAACGCGTCTGTAGCAATCCGCTACAGTGTTGTACAGACGTGGATTCCCCTCGACTGCCCTTGACTCGCCTTTCCTAACTGTCCCACGGCCGCTACTCCTCCTGAAACAGACGTTAAGAAAAGGTGACGCTGGAGTTTCCTCCCGCGCACACCTACCACTTCCGGCGTTCGTCGGTATCCCGGAAACGAACACGCTTTCCGCTTTGGCGAGTCGCGGTAGACGCCGCCACAACACTCCTCAACAATTACAAACTATGGGTTGTTATTAACATCTTAAAATGAAAAAATTTGTAGATTTTATACTTTGAATTTCTGATTTTTTTCTATTGGTCGAAACACTGTGCGTTGGTATAAACCGGAAAGATTCGCGCCTGCCCTCTTGCATTCGCGGGGGAGTCACGGTCGGAATTCCCAAAAAATCGGTACATTCGTTCAAGTGCTCGAGACCAGCATCATTCTTCTTACATTCGTTGAGTCGCAATCGAATCACTCGAGTCATATTACATTTGTCCAAGTTTATCGTAGTCGAAACACAACATATGTACATTCTCTGCAAACATCCGTGCGGATCAAACCGAAACTTGACTTAACATTCAAGCTTAAAGTCTTTTTATCCGATTTCGCTAACGTTCGAGCAAATCGAATCCAGTAATTGTACGTACGCGAGTGAAACATTCGGAACGCGACATGCACGACGCGATTCACACATTGTCTGTCGAATGAATAAGCTGTGCCTGGACAATGTGGAGGCACGGCCTACGTTCTTATGGACAATGTGGTCCAAATTATATCACGTTTGATCTCATTTTAATCAGAAAAATCTCACCAACGTGTTAAAAAAATTTTCAGATAAAAAAAAGTAAAATTAAAAAAGTTATATTATTCTATTATAAACTGTCGAGCCATGAAATCTCGTAAAAGAAATCGAGTGGTGTAGCGTTACACGCTTGACTGACTGCGAGCGAAATAACATAGGCGCAGCAATGACGTAGACCTAGGCGTAGGACCATCTATGTGGCCAATTGTAGAATCCAAACTATGTAGTGGCCAATTGGAGAGACATTACTGTATTCCTTTTCCCGTGACTACCGCAAAATACGCAACAACGCAACTGTTTAATATTGAACTATAATTCTTTTCTTTCAATGTTGGTAGTTATTTGACATGCTCTAAGTTAATGTATATTCTGGTTTTATTGCTTTATTTCACTTTTTACAGCTGTGATAGAGGAGAATACAAGACCTATACATTTTTTTTCTTCTACTAAGGAAATAGTTACGAAACAAGCGAAGTCAAGCGGCCATTTTTGTTTTAAAATAAACTTCGAAGGTTCCTGAAGAAGGGACCGTTGCATTTTCCTGCGATAATTTGCGATTTTCAGTTATTGTTATTTCTTTGCCGTCTGCACCGTTTATGGAGTGGTACATGTATGGTAGAGAATCGGAATATCGTGTCTTGTTTGATTAGTGTGCCTAATTCTATACTTAAATAGCCCTGGTAGTTTAATAAGTAGTACTTTTACAGCATAGTATTAGAAATACGAAACAGGCAGAATACGTTAATTTGCATTTACTCAGCGACAATAACAGATAGCGACGGACACTTAATAAATATTAAGAAACAATTAAAATAGGAAGTATTTTACATTTTTATATACAATATTTAACGTTAAATAAGTACATTATCATTTTAAAGGCATATTATGGCAATTTTAGATTTAGAAATATGACTTTTGGCCAGGATTTCGGCGAAATCTGCCATTGAGTGACGGTTCGAAAGGAACAAAAATATCACTTATTTACTACCTTTACAGTTGAAATTTTAAAATAATAAATAAATTCTAACAAGGTGTACGAACACATTTTTGATTTACTGTATTGTATGTATATTGACAAAAAGTCATGATAACATTGAACGTTCTTGTTAGATGAATAACTTGATATTTGAGAACTTCGTGTATTGTTAACATAATTGATTCCATTAAATTATAAATGTCATGTAAAATTTATATTCAGTTTTATTTAACATTGGAAATGGGTGATTGAAATAAAAGAACGCCTTTACTGTTTTCTGGACACCCAAAAAAGGAATGTTGGGGTCCCCTTATACTATTGTATTGTAGTGTAAATAGAGTGTCTTGACACTAAGACGAACTGACGAACTCCAGGCACGCCTAGTGGTCCTCCTAGCGTCTTTGTTTAGCGTCTTTAGAAATAATCCAATATTTAATATTATCTTATTTTACTTCCCTTACCTCAGTTCGTAACATCTATGTGTAAGACTAAGGAATTACAGGCGCTTAAAATAACGTCGGTTCGCTCGTCGATGACTATGTGCGATATTGTATGGGCCGCTGCCCTTTTTCCCGGTTTTATATGTTTCCTCGGCCCGTTGGGACCGTGCAAGCCTTGGAGTGGGGGGTGCAGCCTGCGCTCATCCTTGTCTAAGGCCCCCTGGCGGCTTGGGTCCCGCGGTCGTTGCCTAGGCGCGTCGCACAGCGCCTTACATATGTTTATAAACATTTTGTATTGCAAATATCTTTTTATCGTTAATTACAAACTACAATTAATACTAAAAAGAAGCAAAACTACTCCAGGTATTATTGTGGTGTAGAATTCACATTTACACAAGCGTTTACAAACCTTAAATTGAAATTTTCATTTTTCTTTAGCTTCATCAGGGTAACTAGGTACGTAGCAGGAATTTTCAGTAGTAATTAAGAAATGCTATTTAAACTTGTCTCGTAAGTATTCTTTATTTTTTGTAAAATTGTACAGCCAAAAGAATATCGTAATTTGCGATGCAAAATTTAAGAACATTCGATTCGCATTTCTTTCTTGAACGACTCGTGGACATTTTGTTTGGTAATAAATAGACATTATTTCGAAACAATCTCATAGGTACTCTTGTTTGTTTAACGTGAGTTTAATTTGCAATGCAAAGTCTGAAAGTACTGAAACACAATACGCTTCCGTTCTCATGAAAACGTTATGTTTCAATCAACGAAAGCCACTTAAACTATCTTATAGGTGTTCTTTATTCTTTGTAAAATCATACAGCATAAGCGACCGGAGTCTACACAGTGTAGCCAAGCGAGATACAAGTGACATGATCGTTCATGGGGTAAACGACGATCAGGGTGCCAGTGCATTCGTGCAACGTTCACAGGCTACAAAGAACATCCAATTTTTACACCTTTTTGAATCGTTCGGCACTGCTAACGCGTCGTTCGCCCCACGAATATAGGCACACACACACTTGCGAATTTAGGTGGCTCGAAATGTACGATGTTTCTCGTAAAAATCTTACACAGAAGTCTGTCGTCCCCTGTGATGAGCGCGTGATTAAAAAAAAAAAAAGAAGACTTAATGATTAATTCTGAGAATACAGACAAAATGTAATACACGTATACCTAAGCCCTAAGACAAAACTAGAATCTTCTGTTGGTTAATTATCTAAAATATATGATATATATACATACATACATAAATACATGTATGTGTGCGCACGCGCGTGTATGTACGTATGTATGTATTACCCAAAACGATTATCGAGTTACACTGTTGGCAATTAAATATCGAGCGATGTCAATTCATGGATGAATAATCGAAATAAAATGGCTTTTATACAAATAGTTCTGTGGTACGTAAAATTTGATTTCCTACTACGA